AAAACTAGTTTGTTTGTAATATATAATTTTTATAAATCTTTTATAGTATTATAATTGTGATATTAGAATAAACAAAATTATTTAAAAAATAAAGATAGAATTAATTTTTTTAATTCAGTGGTTCTGCCTATTATTCTTTATTAGAAGTACCAAAACTCATATCAACAAGAAGATACAATTTGCTATACTATATTCTATATGAGTAAAAATCAACTTGAGCAAAGCTCAAAGAATGACCCACCTAATAGCAATTAGCTTCATATTGAATTCTCAACTTACTGAGGATTTGAACTCTCTAATCCTTAGCTCTAGCAGCTGCACACTTCATTAAAAGAGCCAAATTAATGAAAGCACAAACACAAAAAAAAAATATAGATAAAAGGGGATATGATAAAAAATATAAGCAAGAAAAAAAAAGGGTAAGAGGTTATTAAAAGAAACAAAAGAAAATAAAATTTGTCTATCCTAATAATTACTATTATAAACCTGTAAATGACTTGTAAAAATTATATACTACTAAATAAAATAACCTCTACTTTAAATTTATTTAAATAGTATATACAAGCTCAAAACCAGTAAAAAAATACTTCTTTGACTATAAAAGTAGGGGTCAGAACTCGATTCAAGTCTCAGAGCATTGTTTAATTAGGTTGTTGTATTCAAGACATATGCCTTGATATATTTGTTGTTTGGTTGTACCGATTTAGAAAGTAAACAATGCTAGCTGTTTTGGTATATATGATATCGATTTTTTAGAGGGGCAAGCTAAAACACCCACTTTTTACAAAAATTTTCTCAAAAATAAGTAGTGGGCCAATGAGAGTATGTAAAGTTCTTTTCGGGATATTCTATAGAATAGGTGGGCATTATAAAAAATAAGCTTTGCTATTAATTAGTAATCATTAATTTTTTAATAGCAGAATTGTGGAGTTTGTAGAGTTTGCCCACCTATTCTATAGAATATCCTCTTTTTGTAAGAGTTACAGTAATATAGTTCAGTTTTTCTGTTTTTATTTGATATTCTTGCACAGAGACCCAACAGTGATATTGCTCCCAAAATATCTTTTTGGTTTAGATGTTGAAGATATAGAGAAGTCTACTTTTTTCTTCTTGCTGTTTCCAGAGACTCCTTCAGTTTGAATGCCGAATATACAAAAGAGTCCACCTGCAAAAGAACAGAAAACAAGGTTTGACCTCTGTGCAAACCATCCACAATGATCACATCTCAGTATATCATATTTAAGAATTTCATTGACAACAGTTCGTAGAAAAGAAGCTTAACCCAAAATACTGGACCCACTTTTTATTATATGCCTGCTCCTTGGCATTTCATGTATATAAATTTCATCAATAGCAAGTATGTAAGTATACACAAGAGTATCATAGTGTCTACTTTATTACTTTTCTATTACTTTTACTATCATTCAGTTTGTTTTATTGTTGACCAAGGGATTGTTAGGAAGAGTGCTGTCACTTATACTAATAAAGATCAAATTAATTAGCAAAATTTTAATTATAATTTTATTAATAAAATTATAAAAATATTACGATTTTTAAATTTTTACTAATTAATTCTATCTTTATATTTTAATTAATCTTATTATATATAAATTATTAAATTTAAATCTATTTATGAACTTTTAAACTAAACCTAAAATAAAACTGAACTTAACTTAAAAATCAATATTGAACCTGAACCGAACTTTTTTTTAAAAATATTCAAGTTTAGTTTAATTTTAAACTGAATTTAAACTTAACTAAAAGTTTTATTCAGTTTAGCTCATAGAAATGCTATATAATACTAGGCTTTAAAATAATAAAAAATAGTTAATTAGATATTAGTTATATATAGAATGTAGTATATTGTAATTTATGACTATATTTGAATTACTCTTTGAAGCTTTGATCAATGCCTCATCATCTCTTTTGAGAACTTTTAATACAAATTAAATTATAATTCATGGGCTTATTTCACTTGTATGCGGTACAAAAGATTAGAAAATAATAATTTTATCATATAACGTATTGATTCTATTTTTTCGCATTTTATGTTTAATAATTAGGGTATGCCAAATTAATACATAACAAGAACCATATCATCAGTAGAAAAATAACCTTTTCACAAGTATTCTTTCAAAAATATTTGATGCGATATGCAGCTTTTCTAAATATTTTCTTTATTATCGAAAATCTTTACGTATTTCTTTCACATGTAATATAAAAGAAGATATTTATCACACCAAGGATTTTCGAAGGAATACTTGTTGAAAAGGTTTATTGTTATGCCTGTGTAATGGTAAATAAATTACTGAGCATACAATGAATTATTAGGGATTGGACAAAGTAGAAAACATTTATGACTACCCGAAATATATTATAATTTAGCTGGATAACACAGATAATCTAATCATATCCGAATAAAGATTGCTTCAACGGGGTCCAATCTTTACGCGTAATAAAATAAAAACAACATTGTAAAAGTTCTCCCCTGGTCTATTCCATAAAAATAATGCACAGAATCGGTTAACAATTGGTTCGATAATCAATCCTGAATCCCGAAAAGGATAACTTGCAGTAGAGGCGGCATATACTCTAAATTAATTGAATACATTCAATTCTTTAAACAGTTTCCAAAAATTTATCAAAATTAGAATTTATTTTGAGAACATCATTTGTTTTTTATGGTAAATAAAATGGTCAAATATGACCCATTAATCCTTAAACTACGGACTTTATTAAATTTAGTAGGATCTTATTTACGTAAATAGAGAATCATGTTTATCATTAATGAAATTAATTGTTTCAAAGTTTAACCAATCAACACATTAGTCTGTTAGTAATAAATAAGCAATAGTTTAATGCTGAAATATTATAGAAGCCATCATTCTTAAAAGAGGAGAAGTCTCGCGATGCATAGTATTCTGTTTTAAATAATCAAGAATTTATAGTAATAATAATTTTTATCATATCAGTAAATAAAACACATAATTATAGTTGAAATTTTACGAAAATCAAAATGTTTACCTAGCCTCCAGAATTTGTTGCTCGTGGACTCATAATTTAGTTTCTTCTTTATGCTTATCTTCCAACGTTTCCCCTTTCTCAATCTTGTCAAATTTTGCGTCATCTTTAGTTTTATCTTTTGCATCATCTTTAGTTTCAAATTTTGCGTCATCTTTAGTTTCATCTTTTGCATCATCTTTAGTTTCATCTTTTGCATCATCTTTAGTTTCATCTTTTGCATCATCTTTATTTTCATTAACTTTATTCGATTTCTCCTCTTTACTGATATCAACTTTTGCATCATCTTTATTAACTTCGTTTGAAGAAGATTTTTCCTTTTCACTAATATTGGCTTTTTGAGCAAGCTCCGCAGCCAAAGAGTCAACATCAACATCAACTTTTTCTTTAGCCAGTTCTTCAGGAAATTGTTCTTTCAGTTTTTCATGGCCTTCTTTATGAAGTTTTTGTAATTCTTCCTAAAGTCATAACAAGTATTGATAAATAAAATATAAATGTGAAATAATGATAAAGCAAAATATATTACCTTCCATCCTAATAATTCGGCTAATTCTAATACACCATCATCACAACTACCTCCGTAAAATACATCTCTCTGAATTGGCGAAGAAATTCCATCAAAATCAAACCCACCGCCTGTACCATACTTGATAGAAATAACCCGATAAAAAGAATCCCGATAAAAGAAGAATTGCATAAATAAATATCAAAAGTGATACTTGAATAAATAATTATGTTAAAATGTAATACATTGTATACTCACGCATGCTACTTTTTCACGATTGATCAGTAATCTTGGAGTACTATAGCGTACATAATTAATTAGCGATGCGAACGGTTGAACTTGTAGCGAAGTACCAGCAACTATAAGAAGGTCACAACTATCAAAATCCTAATTTATTATCAAACCAATAAATGGTTAGCAATAAAATTTAATTTTAAACACATGATTAGTTTAAAAGATAACTTACTTCCATATGACGGAAAAATTTTTGAGGTAAATTTTCACCAAAGAATGTAATACAAGGCTTAACAATTCCTCCACAAACCAAACATTTGGGTATTACGCCACTAAAAACAGTTTCTTTCATCCACTTAGGATCAGCTAGTTTTTTGCAATCAAGACACTGTGCATTTGCGAAGGAACCATGAGCCTCAACTACGGCATCTTCAGGTAGTCCCGCAAGTTGTTCCAATGTATCGATATTTTGAGTAAAGCAACGGAGTAGAACATTTTTTTGGTGGAGGAGTTTTATGAAATAATGTGTTAATGTTGGCTATTTAGAAATATAAAGATATTTTTATGAATAAAAAGAAGTAATAATATGGTGGTGAGTCAATAAAAACAGAAATTTTTTTATAAAAATTTTTTTATCCTTAAAAAAATTTTTTTTTATAATAGAAAATTTGTATTATTTCTGTTGACTCATTTCCAAATATACAGAGTATTAAGTTTACTTGCCAGAAATTTAGAAGGATATAATTCTCTTGCTAACTCAAAAAATGGTTCGGGATTTTTCTATAAATAAACCCGATAATTATAAGCACCATTTTATATCGATATTGTTACTAAGTTATAATCAATTACTTTAAAATATCCAATCTCGAAAATAGCTTCAGGTCGAGGTAAATTATATTTAGCAAGATTGTCATAAAGACCAGTTCCAGGAGTACGAAAGTCAGGTATCCCTATAATATTAAATATGTTATTGCTGTGCTATTTCATAATGCCTAATGAGAATCTTCAACAAGATTCGAACCTGCTGCAGTAGAAATTCCAGCACCAGCCATCAAAATAATTTTTTTGGCTATTTAGAAGAAAAATAAGTGACTTTGATACAATCGTTGCTTTATAGAAATAATTGTTCGACACACACCTTTACCGGATTTAATTAATTTTGCAATCGTCTTAATATTAGGTGCCTTACTACTAACATCATCTCCATTTGAACGTGCCTTTATATAATAATCAATTTTAAATCTTTATTCTTGTAAGCTTGAGAGTAAAAATTAGAAAAAATACTTACTTTTAAACTAGGAGCATTCGACATCGTTTTATGTATGATATATTTAAAATATATGACGATAATCCTTAAAGTCCGGATGCCGTCCGGAACAAAACTCATTTAGCTCCTATATATATAGTACGTATGTACGTCCGTAAATGGCATGTGTGGTACTTAAACAGGTCACATGGATCCAAAAATTTTTAATGCCAAGTAACTCAATAATTGTGACACAGATAGGAAATAGCGTTACCTAGTTACGTCTTATATAAAAAATCGGTTTATAAAATAACTGATAAAACGCAATTGAGCCGTAATTAATCCTTGTATTTTATATTTAACAAGAATTTGATATGCTTAAAATTATAGTCACTATATAGTTTCTGAAATAGTGGATTTCAAGAATCTTTCAAGCTGAGTAATATACAGTATGCAATTACTTCTAGCAGATAAGAGATGCGTTAAAGCCTTGTAGCAACGTGATCTGATTTGAATTGATTACTAAACAATTTGTAAATTGAAATTCACGTAACACATATAAAATACTACAGGGCTCCAAAAGAGGAAATTTTTTCCCCTGGTGCTATTACTGTGGGGAACGCCGAGTAGGCGTACTTTATTATCAATACTGCTAAAAATACATTGTATAGAGCTACATTCTATATTTTGATAAATCTAAGTAAACTATTTTCTCAGAGGAAAATTTTTCATAGTTCGTTACATAATAAACTTCCTTTATACCGATTATATTTGGTCAAAAAAGTTGACCAATAGTGCTGTGTTTTAAAATTCAAAAAAATTTTACTTGCACAAATTGAAAATTTTGTGTAACAAAAGTGTAAAAATTTAATTTGACTATATAAATTTCCATTCAAAGAATTATTTTTTCTTGCAAATTTACATGCACTGTGCACGTATGTGCAAGTCAATTTTAAACGCACAGAATTTCTACTTTATCGAGACAAGTATATTCAAAAGTTTTAGAGGTTATAAATTAGCTCAATTGAAGTCTTCAAATACTGGTTGTTATCTTTAAAACTTATCGTTTATACATAGGATTTATAAGCTGTAAAAGGAATTCTCACTTAAATTTGGAAGTCTGAAATAACATGAAAAATTATACTAACGATTCTTCATACAAGTTTATAATAAGTTAGCATGATTTCTAATGGATTGTTTCCAAAACAGAGAAAAGAATTTCACCTGTTTTTGAACATTTACCATAATGAGTATAGATCTGTAAACAGATTTATAAACGAAATCTAAGAACAAATAAAATAAGGCAATATGAAATGAATGATATTAGGTGGAATTTATTTACCCTAATTATTTTGCGTAAAAGATTTAGCTTTTATTTTATTATTTCATTTTGCAAGTATAATAGAAAATATAAATAAGAAATAAGAACGAAGAATGGTAACAGGGAAAAAGAAACAAATTATAATATAGCGATATACTCTGGTGGTTTAAATTCATGTGACTGCTTTCTCGATTGTTGGTAAGCTGGATTTGCTCAGTGGTCTACACTTGTCCCTTATATATAGTTAATGCATACTAGAGTTGGTACTCGAACGAATCCTACCCGAAATTAGTTTCGAAAAGCTCTAATCCGAAACTAGTTTCGGATTTTTTAATGGGTATACGTAGCCCAAATGTACTAAATTTAGTACAAATAAAAAAATTATATTGGACTAGTTATTTAATTAAATTTATTTAAATTTTGCTAAATTATATTTGAATATAAGGATTAGCTTTTTAAATAATTTTAGTAACATTTAATTGATAAAAATTTTATATAGATTAATCTTTTTTTTTTTTTTTTTTTTTTTTTTTTGATTATTAAGGCCGATGTTACGGAGCTTACTGCCTTTATTTGTGT